AGCAAATGCAGTAAATCACATACTATACTAGAACATAACCTTTTTACCTGAGATGTGGATGTGATTTATCTGAGCGATCACGTTTAGGAATGTTCTCTAAACGATCACCTTTAGGAATGTTCTCAGAGCGATCACCTTAGGAATGTTCTCTGAGCGATCACCTTAGGAATGTTCTCTGAGCGATCACCTTTAGGAATGTTCTCTGAGCGATCACCTTTAGGAATGTTCTCTGAGCGATCTCCTTTAGGAATGTTCTCTGAGCAATCTCCTTTAGGAATGTTCTCTGAGCGATCTCCTTTATGAATGTTCTCTGAGCGATCACCTTAGGAATTTTCTCTGAGCGATCACCTTAGGAATATTCTCTGAACGATCTCCTTTAGGAATGTTCTCTGAGCGATCACCTTAGGAGTGTTCTCTGAACGATCTCCTTTAGGAATGTTCTCTGAGCGATCACCTTTAGGAATGTTCTCTGAGCGATCTCCTTTAGGAATGTTCTCTGAGCGATCTCCTTTAGGAATGTTCTCTGAGCGATCTCCTTTAGGAATGTTCTCTGAGCGATCTCCTTTAGGAATGTTCTCTGAGCGATCTCCTTTAGGAATGTTCTCTGAGCGATCTCCTTTAGGAATGTTCTCTGAGCGATCTCCTTTAGGAATGTTCTCTGAGCGATCTCCTTTAGGAATGTTCTCTGAGCGATCTCCTTTAGGAATGTTCTCTGAGCGATCTAAGCTATGGTGAGAATTTGAAATAAAAAATAATTTTTATTTAAAAATGATAATTGGAAAATGCTTGTCTAAATCTCAGCTTCCTGTTTATCTCTCGCCCAGATTGCCCTGATGGGATTACAGAAGGGGAATCCTATAAACCAGATGGGTCGTGTAGAAACTGTACATGCTACAGAACTGGCAGTAAGTCGACAAGCCTCACGTCCAGCTGTGAAGAGTAAGTCAGCATTAAAGGTGTAAATTTGCAAATTAACACCATATATTGTAAGGCAACAAAGTTAGCATCATAGTTGTACATAATGGCGATGTAACGAATATAGAAAAAGTTCCGATATAACGTCAAAATAATACCAATCTTTGAGAAGTTTCAATAAACATTTATAATACGCCGAATTCTAAATAAATGAGTGCCAAGCAGTTCATGGCGTGTTCGGTGTTCTGAAATTGGCGACAAATTTGCTTAAATCAAACTCCAGACGATGGTGATCATTTACAATAAAACATTATTGAGTTGAGTACATGGTAGAGTTCTTATTGCTAAGAAGAAGAAAACTTTTGTTACTTCAACTGTTTATTCTGCATTCATTGCCCTTGTTACCGTTAAATGGAGAAGGGAAACGAAAGGATTTGACAACTTCATTGGCGTCAATTTATTTGATCACTTTAATATCTGCTATTCAATGTTCAACTCTCTTTAGTTTCACCAGGTGCCCATTTACTCCATATTTCTATGCCTGTGCCTAATGTCGATTTTTCACATTTTTATATTCACCAGGTGCCCAACTTCTCCATACTATTTCGACAGCACCAAATGCTACTCAAACTTTGACAACACGCTAAAATTTCCACTTTGCTGCGCACCCGTTGTTACATGCAGAGGTCAGGATGGCTTCGACGAGGCCCTGTTGAAAAGCGGGGATCAAAAATGAGAATGTTTAGAACCTTTGAGAAAGGTGGCTGTTACGAACAGACATGTTTAATCTCACATTTCTTTCTTCGATTGTCTTTAAAATAAAGAGATGTTAAAGAGACAAAGTGGAATAAATAGCGTTTGGATGAAGTTGTAAATTATCTATCTTTATATCATCTCTATCACCTCTATCATCTATCTATCTATCTATCTATCTATCTATCTATCTATCTATCTATCTATCTATCTATCTATCTATCTATCTATCTATCTATCTATCTATCTATCTATCTATCTATCTATCTATCTATCTATCT